TATTTCACTGTTTTTCTTCATGAACAGACAAGAGATTCTTACTAAATCGTTTATTAATGTACAATAGCTGACGTTACAGTGGTTTCGCCTTCTTCAGAGCATGGAAATGTCAAATTGACACTCAATTTACTCAGGCAAACACTTCCATAACCTCAGCCAACAAGACTTAACACGTAAATCTTTATCCAAATAATGGACGGCTTCCTGTAAATTTCACCGTTTTGATGTTTATAATTGTTCCAGGCATTTCATGGAAACCACACGCACAGTCTTACATGGGTGAGGAATATGCGTAGCTCAGTTAGCCGAAAAAATCAACCTGAGGTATAGCACGAGGTTACGAGTGTTAACAAGGCGCTCCTTTTTGCGGTACAACAATGGGTTTTCGGAATTTATCTGAAACGCTTCAAAACGCGCTAATGCTTTAGATTCCAATGCGAATTTCAACTTTACAATGACTTTCTCCTTAAAATCTTCTCCGTTATGGACATAACAACATAGAAATCTAAAACGCTAGCACTTAAAACTCTTAAAGCGTTTTGGATAAGTTCCAAAAACTCAGTGATAAACCGCAAAAAGAGATGTCTTGTGATAACGCGTGACGAAGCGCTATACCTAAGGCAAATTCTCTGACCTCAGATTCCAGACACATTCCACGCTCAGGTAAGACATTGTGCGACCAATATTTACCAGATACAACCACAATGTGCTGAGATATTTGCAAAACTCCGGACCGCAGGTGTTTGCGTTGGGGAACGAAAGTGATATTACCCTCTCCGGGGCTAATGAGTTTCCTATCACGCCATGCGGGATTCGTTTCGTCTTTCTCTCAGCTCGCTTTTCTACTGACCAATACCGTCAGCAATCATTGTCAACGGGATTGATTTCGGATGCCCAAGTTGGTAATGAACCAAGTTAAGCTGAAAATTGTAATAGGCTGCAAATAAAAAGTTAACATCGTGATATCCACCAAGTAATATGTCGGTCTTTGGATGTGTAGTTTTCCTATTCCACGCGTAACGCGTGATGTTTTTGTTTACTACAATTCCCGACACTTTTTTCATAAACTAAGTATCTGAGAGGTTGACACTGAAGGAGCCTTAACACGCTGAAGGAACTTGGCTGCACTGTTGTTACACTTAGTGTTTGTTTTATTGTTCTAGTTTCTACTTGTTGTACAGCTACTATTCGTTCTACAGCTCTACAAAGCCGCAATGACTCGAGTTTATCCATAACGTTTTTATCTACCACGTGTAGACTCACTAACAGATCAAAATAGTTAATAATAACCTCCTTTGGGCTTTTTCAGATGTTGTTCATAGTCTCATTAGAAACGGTTCCATCCATTTTGTCTCTGAGTTCCGTGCTTTGATAATAATGTGTTACATGTTTTTAAGTCTACATATAGTCGGAATTTAAGGAGGCCTTCGATGTACTCTGGCCGGATAATGATTATGACGCTTCTAAGCAAAAAGTTGATTAAGCTTGCAGTGACTACTTTGTGTTGCTTCTTTATCCGACTTCTTGACTTTCTTCTTTTTTCTTTACTATCGTTCTTCTCGTTTATCGTTGTAGTGTTTCGGTTTAGCCACTGGAGTTTCTAGGATGAATTCACCCTACTCAATAATGATTATCAAAAAGTAGAGTGGCAGCAGACAATGTGATATTTTACTGCCAGTGGAGATAATGAGCATTTAAGTTTTTCCTCTCAACAGTTGTCAAGAATCCTTTTTTCCTAGAGTTTAGATATACGACCGCTTCTTCATAATAGTCACCTAACGTTTTCTTGGTTTTCCTCCATATCCACAGATCTCCCTCATATAAGAGATCTCGAGCCGGTTAGTCGCGAGGTTGCGTGGCCCGTCCCCAGGTGGCAGATACGGGGTTAATCGCGGGCCAAAAGCGACCTTTGCTTCCCTGAAAGGCAGATGGATCAAGGGGATAGACTTCCTGTTTCTGCTGCGCTAATTTGACACATACTTTCTGTATTTGCTAGGCGTATTCATGCATGAGCGTGTGGGTGCGTTCTCACTTATGCGGATTGTATTCTACGAGTTAATTCTGCCAAAAACCTGAAATCAAGTGACAGGGAAGTATATGGGTGCAGCTAGGAGTCGCTTCCAACAAATAACCTCCATGTCCACTCCGGTAGAGCCTGGTAAGCTACCCGTGAGTATACCCAGCACCCTACGTTCAGAGCACAGCAAGCAATACGTGGGTATCAAAAATGCTAAACACAGTAAAAAAACGGGCCTCATTCTCCTGACCTCGAAAAAGCCCCCAATTTCGCAGCGTTGATTTCGCAGGACGAGAACGGAGAGGCTGGTAAAATCTCAGGGCCAATGGAAGTAGCTGGATTACGAGGAACTATGGTGACGATCTGTACCTACAATGCACGTACACTTGCATCCGAGTCCTCGATTGAAGACTTGCTCATGCAAGCAAGAAGGATAAGGTACCACGTCATCGCCCTGGCCGAGATGAGACGATGCCACCCATTCAACGCCGTCTATGACACGGAAGAAGAACTGTTCCTCGGACGTCAGCAAGAGTTTGTCCATGAACATCGATTCATTCTAACAACTAACAACCCGAATCGGTCGTTTACGATTAAAAAGATGTGGATCAATACCGGCTTTGGCAATCTTCGTCGTTTACGCAACGACAACAAACTATGACGAAGAAGAAGTCGAAGCGTTCTACATGGACTTGCAGAAGTTCTACAGAGAAGACCGTACATTCTTCAAAGTCATTATTGATGATCTTAACGCCAAGATTGAACCAAGAAGAAGGTCTGAAGAACGTCACATTGGGACCCACGGATTAGAGTGGAACGTTTAGGGTGACCTGCTGTCTGAGTTTATCATTGCGACCAAGACAATCCATGGTAACTCGCAATTCCAGAAGGCCCACCCTCAGCGCTGGACGTGGGAGTCTCCTAATGGAGAGTACCACAACGAAACAGATCACAACATTGTAAATAGATGGTTTTGCCTAACCGATGTCGCTGTTGTCCCAACATTCTACACCGGATGAGACCACCGCCTCTTCCTTGCAAGATTCTACTTCTCGCGAAAAGGAGAAAAAGCGGCCAAATTCAAAAACCGAGGTCCCAGAACCACCACAAACTGGGACTTATTCAATTCATTAGTCGGTGTTGGGAAGATTCTGTTGTCAATAACATCGACGAGGAATACTATCGGCTCATTCAACATCTTCACGTTAGCGCTATGAAAGCTCAGAGTTCGAAAGTCACCAAAAGACATCTGTCTCCAGAAACACTGGAGCTGATACGCGAGCGTGGAATCGCACGAGCTGCAGGCAACCGCGAACTAAAGTTCGATCTTGCAAAACAATGCGGAGAGGCGTTAAAAGATGATCGTTAAAAGATGAGAGAGAAAAGCAGCAGTAATGGTCGAAGCTGCAGAGGCTGGGAAAAGCATTCGCAAAACCCACCGAAGCTTCGCCAATAACAAGAACAAGATGACTGCACTCCGACGTCCAGTCGGGACACTTGCAGCGTCCAGCAAGGCAATGGGGAAAATCATTCACGAATACTACTCAGATCTCTTCGATAGCCACGTTCACCTGCCCTTATATGAAATAAAGGAGGATGGTTATGTTGTACCACCGATTCTACCTTCCGAAGTCCGATATGCCATTTCGTCGGAAAGAAATCGAGCAGCATCAGGTCCGGACAGGATAAGATCAGAACACCTGAAGAACTTTCCGCCAGCCTCTGTGAACACACTGGCTCGGGTCTTCACAAGTTACCTGTCTGAATGCAAGGTCTCTACTCAGTAGAAGACCGATAAGCCCGTGTTATTGTTCAAGAAGGGTGACCTACACGATATCGGTGTGTATCGCCCAATCTGCTTGCTGTCTGTTATCTACAAACTTTACACTCGAGTAATTCTAAACAGAATTGACAGAACAATGGACGAAGGACAGCCATGTGAGCGAGCAGGGTTTCGAAAAGGATTTAGTACGATGGACCACATTCACACGATAACAAGACTCAGACTCAGTGAAGTATCGCGAGAGTAATTAAGATTGAAGTAGTCATGGAAGCCCTTGATAGTCAAGGAGTCCCTACCCAATACGTAAAGATTCTGCGTGAGCTGTACAAAAATTCCACAACCATGATATCACCATTCTACAAAGATATTAACATTGACGCCTAAGGTGTAGTTAGGCAAGGTGACACCATCTCGCCAGCTACATCATGTTCGCTTTGCTGATGAAATCGTCCTTGTAACACCAAACATTACCAAAGCGGAACGTATGCTCGACGACTTTGATAAAGCCTGTGGAAAGATTGGTCTCCGACTAAATCTCACATAAAACGATGTTCATAAAGAGCGGATTGGTTTCGCATAGTCCATTCACCCTCAATGGAACGAATATCTCCGAATGCTTCAGTTATGTCAACCTAGGTCGGGAAATCAATACCATGAACGACTTAGCTCCAGAGCTTAGCAGAAGAAAACGAGCGGTTTGGGGAGCTTTCAAGAGCAACGAGGATGTGTTTTCCTGCAAAGAGTTCCACCCGCTTGGACAAACGCATTTCGAGCAGTTCTCCTGGGATTAGAAAATCCGCCATTGTAGCACTTCGCCGAAGACTTTCATCGCGTTTATCTAGTAAGTGTAATTTCGTGAAAGCAACTGAAAAGTTTACACGAGGTTGATAATGATATTTATTTTCATGCCTCATTCGAGGAGAGGGCTCACTGAGGAAGACCTGACTCGACACGAAGGCGAAGCTGCCACGTCGAGACGAATAACAAGCGTGGACCATCGACTCGGATCATCGGCTCCGAGGAAGACGGAGATTTCGAAACGTCAGTCGAAAATAAATATGTTTATCAACCTCGTGTAAGCTCATCAAAGAAAGAGTACATTTGATTAGTGATACCAAGGTTCAAGAAAAGTCGGTTTCGAAATGCTACTGAAAAAGTCGTAGATTTCTGAACCTAATCAGTTAAGGTTTATTTTTAAAATTATAGCGGAGAATTCGAGATATGCAACTGCAAATAAAACGTTGATATAGGATTCTTCTCACAGAGGCATGCGTAATGCAAATTCATCATGAGTTTGTCGTAGAACGACACACTGCCCGATCCAAATGTTTGCGAGTAGTCAGCATCGGATGCGATTATCGTGGGCCAGCCGTTCTTTGAAGAGCTGCTGTTGAAATACTATTTTATTTTGATTATTCACAATGGAACACTAAAAGTTGCCCAATGCTCTTGTTCCATTTTGGAAAACACTTCCGTAATCGTAGGTCAGGTTGTAGTTGTAGTTTGTGCGTTTACTTTGCCTTATAAATTCAAGCATCATGTCTTTCTAAAATCTCATCCTTTTTCACTGACGAGCCACACCAATGGCGTATTGCAAAACTACCCTGATTTTTCCTTAACACGTTGACGAAGCTGTTACGACCGTGTCTCGAATGTGTGTGGAAGAAACCTAAGGCGTGACCGATCTCGTGTGCAGCTGCTCCAGCCTGCATAAAATAGAACTCTCGTGTTGGTGGATCCAAAAACGTTTGCATAATTTCCTTCTAAAGAGAGAAACAGAAATATGGTGAGGATTTTAAGAAACATCGTGAGGTTCTTACCGACTCACATCCCTGCCCAAGTGCGAGTCTCTGTTCTCCTCCAATTCTTCCGACATTTGAAAAACATCCAATTCTTTTCATAACACCAATCCTATCAGGTGCTTAAAGACTAATTCTTAAGGGAATCTTGCCTTTAGAATTTTGTAATTCCCATCTATTGGTTTATCTCACATGTTTCGTTTTTAGAGAACTTCAGGCACGTGTGCTTCTCCCAAGCCCTGATAGCTTTTTAAAACACTTTTCTTACATCTCGGGCTAAACATACTTATGAAATTATTTGCACTGCAGTACTACTATAGTTGAAGTACAAAGATTAAAGGACGTACTTGCGTTCGGATAGTAAAAGTAGGTCGCTACTCCACTTTGCCATATGGTTACAGGATATTTGTATCACGTTAGGCTTGACGTTTGCTGCGTTCGCTTTCGCCCTCTTCGCTATGTTCTAAAACTTCGTCGGCTTGTTCTCTGAAAAGCAAAAGAATGGTGGAGTAAGAAGTCGACCTAATAAAACAAAGTTACAAGTGGACAAACTTAGTGAGTAGCATATTTCCTTGAAACAAGACTATGTTAACTTTGCTGTTTTCGAATTATAACTCGCATGAAATGCTGAGATATGGTGTAGTGGTGAAGTGCGCTGCTCCCCGATAAGGACAACAGCACGTGTTCGTTCCACACTGCATACACCTGCGGTCCGGAGTTTTGCAAATATCTCAGCATTTCATACGAGTTATAATTCGAAACATACCCTTCCATTAAGAAGAAAAAGGCAGTAAATAAAAGAGTTAAGTTTGCCGTTTTCGTTAATTCCTTCAATTGTCTCCCATTGGTTGAAAGATTTCGTCCTCAGCTTGCACATAGTCCTAACATTTTTGTTTGACATCTCGCTTGAGTGTACGGATACAGAGGACCATGTGCGCGCTTTCAACGCATTTACAGCTTAGTATTCTCCTCCAGCGAGAGATCGAGTTCCTTCTTTACTTTTTCTTCCAGATTATGCAATTCCTCGATAAGTTTCTTTGTGGCGTCCGCTTACGGTTCCTAAAAGTGGAGGACCATTAGGAGAAAAGAAATCAGCTTCCTTTGTATTCTAGATTTCGAAAGCAGGCGAAGCTCATATCCCTCTTCCAGCTTTTCCTCAAAGCTCTTCTCACTGAAGAATCTCTCATTTTCCGACGTCGAGTTAATAAACACCTCCACACCAATGCAGAGAGTGAGGAGCATAAATTGCACAAGCCTCATTCTAAAATAGAAAAAGGCTGCATGGAAAAAGCGAGAAAAAAGGAGAGCTTTAGAAAACGAGGTTTCATACCAGTGGCATATTCTAAAACGAAAAGGTGACTATGGAGCAAAGACGGATAGAGGGAGAAAGAGCGAGGTTTCGTACGTGAGAATAGGAAATGCTTGCGGTGAATGTCGCTTGGATTCACTTTGCTTTTGTGCTGATTTTAAGGTCCGTTGTTTACACAACAGGTAGAAAAGCTGAATTCTAATCACGTGTACCCTAAAGCATCTCTAATGCATAGCAGGTTTCAGACGGAATGAAATTCCACTTTCTCATCTAACTCACTTTACATCCTACCGGTCTTATAAAAGGCTAAGGGATAAAGCTCTCAGCGTTGATCAATCCCTGAGGGATACGCCATGCATTCGACTTCATTAAGCATCGTTGGAGGTGACTAAATGTATATCTGGCCTTTACAATGACTCGTGGAGGCCTACCGATGTATCGACCCAGTGTTGCTATCCTCCCAGACAAGTCTAGTACTAATTCGTAGACCCCGGAGGGATGGAAGGCTTGGTAGGCCATGGGTGCGGACACTGGTCTTATATATAAGCACATCCACAGAGCGATAACAAAGCATTCTTTAACGTACTCTTCTTTGTTTCCTATTACCACCACTTTTCTTGTTGTTTAATGATTTATTGCAGTTTATTATCCGATTTCTATTTGCTATCGTTGATTCTTCTTTTTGTTTCCTAACATTATTGTTCGATTTACCTCATCATCGCGGTTGGGGAAAGACGTTCCTACGTCTCGCGCTGAGATGTAGAGTGGAGAGTTTTATTCCCTCAGCAGATTCTTCCAGGATGAGAAAACGTTCGATGTTTCTATTCTGAAGCTCAGCGAAGAGCTAGCCAATACCAGCAATCACCGTAGTCCTGGTACCAAATTCATTGCAATGTGGTAAACCCATCAAAAGCGTCAGCAGCTGCTTCTGGTGACGACTTGAGCAAAGCTACAGGTAAGTTAACCTCGGGACGACAGGGAACCGTAAATAGCTAAACTAACAGCGTAATAACTTGGACAGCACGCACACTGAGGGCTCCCGTCTACAACGCCATGACGTTAGACAACCGGATAGAGACGATTAAATCTTGGAGAGCACAGGATGTCATTGTACCCGGACTAAACGAAAAACCGTACGATACGCCATGGAGTTTGCTCTGCATCCATAAAGGATAAAGGATAAAGCTCTCAGCGTTGATCAATCTCTGAAGGATGCGCCATGCATTCGACTTCTTAAAGCATCGTTGAAGGTGACTGAATGCATATCTGGCCTTTACAATGACTCGTGGAGACCTACCGATGTATCGAGATGCAGTGCTGCTATCCTCCCAGAGAAGTTTGGTACCAATTTGCCGACTCTGGAGGGATGGAGGACTTGGTAAGCAACCGGCGCGGGAATCGATTCCACGTGTGCGTCGCAGGTGCCCTGCGCTACACGCTCTCTTAAGATCTGCACCTATAAACAACCTTTTCAGCCGTTTATCATTGCGCTCCTCTTGGAGCTGCTCATCGAATCAAATTTGATATACCTACCTTATAAGATGTGAAACGAAGGAAGATCGAAAGACGGTAATTAGATGATGGGATTGTTGTAATTCATGGAGGGAATTTTTCACTATGAAATGTCACAGGTGCTGGCTCTATGGCAGGCTCATCGGCTTTTGGTCAGATCATCTCCTAAGAATTCCCATCTCTTCGTTTGGCCGTTTTTCCTGTTCAAACTCTGTGTCAAAAGAATGTCAGTCCTATTAACTGCAACTCACAAGCGTGTATAGCTGACAAGAGCAAAGCAGACGCCTTTTCAAGGTAGTTGGAAAAAGCGTTTCGAAAGGAAAAGTCCTAAAAATTTTCGTGTGGAGCTTCAATATCGGAATAAGAACAGCGAATAAAAATGAATACAGAATATGAAATTTTGGTAGAAATGTTCAAAATGAGACTGAGGACCTTCTCCTGTAACCCTCGTCTGCAACATTAGTCCATGGGAAATTATTTCTCGAGAAGGATAAAACCGCTGGTGGACACGGGCGCCTCCTAAAGCCAAGACTCATGCAGAGATGGACCATATTTCTACAAACCAAAGATGGGGTTTGTTTGATATATTAGCGGTCCCTAAACTTTGAACTGGATCCGACCATTGCCTTCTCCATGAGAGGATTCAGTTCAGCTACAAGCTGGAAAAGTACTCCTGCAATGGACCAAGAAAACATGACAGGCGATGCATGATGAGGACATAAATTCCCTCCGCATTAGAGTGGCATATTAAGGAAGGCGCCACCAGGGACTACAAACTGCTTTTTGAAGGCATTCAAGGTACTCAAGCTCGTCTCAACTCCTCGAACAAGAGGTTTCCAAGCTGCATCTTCATTCCCATTAAAGAGTTCCTAGAAAAAACGAGGATACTCAACTCCGATTCTACTGATATACATCTAACAAGGCTGGTAGCAAAACAGCTGTAGAAGATCTTTGATGAAGAATTTATATCGGGAAATCAAAAAAAAGTTATTGCAAGCAGCTCAAAGTCGATCGCGTCTGAACTGTTGTCGTTATCTATATCCCGCTATCAATACTGATGAGTGAAGATGAGATTATTACCACATCATGCTGTGATATTGTATCTATGACGGGAAAAATTTATAACTCATCTTAACTCGGTTTAATGCTGATTAAGGCTTCCCAAATCAATCCTGTTGACGGGAGATTGCTTATGGCACTGGTAGGTAGAAAACTAGCTGAGAGAAAGGCGAAATGAAAGAAGCGCATGCTGTGGTGGTGAACGCGCAAGCATCCGAAAGGGTAATAGCGTTTTCGATCTCCAGCGCAAATACATGCAGTACGGAGTTTTGCAAATATCTCAGCAGCATTCTGGTTGATTTATAACGGAAAGATTCTATACTAATCTTTTCCGTTCCACATTTCCCGTCTCAGGCCCCGAAATCCCCGCTGGAGAAAAACCTTTCCTCCAAACTCCTCGTTTGGTAATATTAAAGTCGATTTCGTAGCTTTTCGTAAACACCGCTTATCCTACGTCTTAACCTTTTTCAAATACAAATATTCTTTTGACAAAATAAAAACGAATCCGATTTTGTCAGCTCCCGTCGATCATGGGGTGAGACCTGTCCTACATAAAATTAACTAAATCTAGTCGCCAAAAATACAACTTTCCCATCGACTGCTCTCCATTTCCATAGGAAAGTGGTGAAAAAGCGACATGGCCTCCCCGAAGCTGTCCCCAGTGCAAAGCAATGGAAGTGAAATCGGTCAGATGGAACGATATACATTAATGGGAAATTCTTGCTAAATCCTCGTTTTGCCGATTCTCCACCTCATCGTCATCTTTTCAGAAAGCCCTAGCGAAGCACAAGCGACACTAAATCGGCTCAACGAATCAAATCAGAAAAAATGTTGGCCTGCTAATGAATAGGGTAGGGACCT